CAAGTCAGTAAGCAGTGTTCCTCCATGGCCTGTGCTTCAGCTCCTGCCTCCAGGTTCCTGCCCTGAGTTCCTACCTTGGGTTCCCTCAGTAATGAACCCAGGAGATGTAAGATAAATAAACCCTTTCCTCCCCAAGTTGGTATTGGTCAGAGATTTTTTTTTTTTGTCTTTTTGAAGCAGGGTCTCCCTGCAGCCCCAGCTGTCCTGGAACTCACTATGTAGACAAGGCTGGCCTTGAACACACAGATCCGCCTGCCTCTGCCTCCCAAGCACTGGGACTACAGGCATGCTCCACCATGACCCGCTTGGTCAGAGTATTTTGTCAGAGCAATGGAGAAACAAATTAGAACATACATTAAATACAGTTTTAATCACAATGCACCTTTCAAAAGTGGAAACTTGTGAGGAAAAACTTCAATTTCTTGATTTATGTAAAAATCCTCATTTGGTTTTAAGATTAATTTGGCCTGACAGGACTTTTAGTCTCCTTGGGAAGTACTGGCAAATTATGTAGCTTTTCTCTTTATAGAAAGAGCACATGCACAGACAGGCTCCGTGTCTGAATATGTCACTATGTAGCCCTGGCTGACCTCAAATTTAAGGGGGTCTGTCGGTGCCAGCTGGCCAAGGCGGACAGTACCTGAAAGGGGGAGTGAGGATTGAAAGAAAAAACAAGAGACAGAGAAAAAGATACTTGGGAGGACTGTCAGTAGAGACTGAAGCCCGGTTTATTTTAGCTCAGACTTCTTATAAAGAAGAACATCAGAGATCTAAACTCAATTTCAACAGCTGTATTTCCCACCTGTATCTGAGGGTCAAGGAGCGGTCAAATACTTGTTGTGAGCTCCACCATATAAACACATTCCTCCTGACTTGGCAGATTAGGTACTGGTGTGCAAAACACAAACTCAGTAAACAAGCCTGCCACAGCTCAATGTACATAATGGATTAATAGCTCCCAACAAGGGTCCTACCAAGTACTGAAGTAACAAAGAGCGGAAGAGACTGTAAACTCCACCCCTCAGCCTACAACCCAATACGCCAGGGGAAAAAGGGCAGAGACTTCATGTCATACTATGCTACAAATTAGCTTCACAACTGAAAGACAAAGTGTGGAAGGTGCCTGTTAAACCTCCACTGAGGCCAGTGTCCAATCACAGGCCTGCTGCTTTAAGACACCAGTCACTGAGACTGCATCTGTAGCCTGAAGAAACCAGGTCTGCAGCTCTCTTTTTGGAACAGAGGTAAGGAAGGAACCATGCTGTGTTGTGGCTTCACAGCTGCTCACTAGCTTGCAGGCAGCCTTGAGCCAGACTGTCATTACTTCTGAAAACCAGCAAAATCCAGTGTCCCCCTCTTCCTTTCCCAAATAGCCTGATCAGTTAGCATCATCTTTACTTGACTAAGTGATCTAGAAACACATATTCCAGAACTCAGTACCTTGGCAGGCACACACACACTACTTTAAAAAAAAAAAAAAAAAAAGAGCCAGTGTGGTGGTGCATGCCTTTGGAGGCAGAGGCAGGCAGATCTCTGTGAGTTCAAGGCCAGCCTGGTCTACATAGTTCCAGCAGGCTAGCTGGGGCTAGAGACCCTGTCTTAAAAAAACAAACAAAAAAAGACATACCATCAGGTGACTCCCATCATAAAACTGAATGTTTATTTTTACTTATAAACAGGACAGAGTAACAACTGCGTAATGATTGTAGATACACCTTGTAACAAAGAGCTGGAAGAATGGTGTCTAGCTTAGAAACCACAGTCAGCAAGTTACACTCCTAGCCAGTACTCCTCAGGGAGAGCTTGGTGTTTGTTTTTTGCAGTGTTAGGGATGGAACCCAGAGCTTCTCAAATGCTAGGCAAGTGCTCTGCACTGAGTTACACCCCAAACTCTTCTTGGTAAATTTAAAATTAAAGGAGGCGGAGGAGGAGGGTAGGAAGGTCCAACTGTAGACATTTTCATGAGCTGGGCTCAGCTTCACATCTGTACCAGGCGTGGCACTGTCCTGCATGTGGTCAACGCAGGACACAGTCATGACAGCACATGTTCTAGAACCCCTTGTCTGATTAACTGCTCACATTTCCATCGAGGCAAAAAGTGCTGAAGACAAAAGGAAGTGGAGGGGAGAAAAGAGAGAAATCATTAGGACAAACATTTAAATTACATTTTACATCATTAAAAAGCAACAGTTGGGGCTGGAGAGATGGCTTGGCAGTTAAGAACACGGACTTTTCTTGCAGAAGACCAGGTTTGAATTCCAGCTTCAAATGTAGTTAACTATAAGTTGCTAAGATTTCTATTCTGTAGTTGAATGTGGGTGACACTGACCATCACAGGAGGAAAGCTGTTCACATACCTACACATGAGCAGATGAACAGGCCCAGGCTTCACTGTCTTAAGTACATAGTGGGCAGGTCAGCCACAGAACTCAAGAATCTCAACAAGTTAAAATGAAGCTTCCATGTGTCTTGTTCTCAGAATAACTCTGCTTTTGGGAATCACAGCTTCCCACTGAGCCTCCAGAAATACAGACCTTATATGAGAACCTTAATTCATCATCTGGTTTTGATTCCTTAATGTAATGTCTTTAAGAGGGCACATGGGAGTAAAATTGTTGGTTTAACAATAAAAATCTGTTTCAAAAACAGTGTTTCAGGGGACTGGAGAGAGAGTTCAGTGATAAAGAGCACTTTCTGCTGCTCTTCCAGAAGATCCGAGTTCAATTCCCAGCACCCACATCAGGCAGCTCATAACTCCAGTTCCAGGGGAGTCAGTGCCCTCTTCTGGACTCTACAGATCACACACACACACACACACACACACACACACACACACACTCACTCACTCACTCACTCACTCACTCACTCACTCACTCACTCACTCACTCTAAAAGAGAAATCTGCTTCAGGAAGTGGCTGTTCCACACTAGTAGAACAGGAGATCAGCCACAGTCTAAGTGAGTAAGACCAAGCACCAGAAGGTCCCAAGCATTTTGCTCCAGACACAAACAGCACTGTGATTCATGGCCAGGATACTAACTGGTCAACCCCAACATAACAGGCAAAGAAGAAAGAGTAGTGATTATCTTTATTTGGGGGCTATTAAAATACTGGATTTAGCCTGGCATGGTGGCACATGCCTTTGATCCCAGCACTCAGGAGGCAGATCCTCTGTGAGTTGGAGGCCAGCCTGGTCTACAGAGGGAGTTCCAGGCAGCTGGAGCTACAAGGAGACTCTGTCTCAAAAAGACTGAAAAAAAAAAAAAAAATTGGATTTAAGCAAGGCTTAGTGGTATAGGTCTGTAATCCCATCTACTCCAGAGGCTGAGATAGGAGGATCAAAGGTTCAAGATTAGCCTGGGCAATTTAGTGAGACCCTAACTCAAAATAAAAAGTAAATAGATGGTTGCCTTCCTCCTATGATGGTCAGTGTCACCCACTGACATTTTATGAGGCCCTTTTCCCACCTATACTGTGATTTCAGAGAATAGAGAGATTAAAATGTTTTTAGTTCATATGAACTCATAGCTCAAAACTTTTTCATTTTAATCCTGCCCTATTAAACTGTCCTGATTACATATAAAATACTTAAAAAAAATTCTTGCTCTCTATCATTATTACTTGCTAAAGAACTAGGTTAAGATGAGATATAAGGGGCTGGAAAGATGGCTTGGCAGTTAAGAACACTGGCTGTTCTTGCAGAAGACCTGGGTTCGAATCCCAGCACCCACATGCCAGCTAACAACTGTCCATAACTCCAGTTCCAGGGGATCTGACAGCCTCTTCTGTCCTCCGAGGGCATAGCATGACACGGGTGCACTTACCTACATGCAGGCAATACACACATACATATACATCTTTTAAAAAAAGATGAGGTGTAAGCTAAAAATGATTGCTCAAGAAATTTAAGAAATTCAAAGACCTGAGCTCAATCTAACTTGTTTGCTTCTTATTCTGGCTCTATAGATATGAACCTACAATCTCATACATGCTGAGCAAATGCTCTATCACTGAGGCAACCCTCTATTTACTATTTTTATTTTGAGTTAGGGTCTCATTAAACTGCCCAGGCTGATCTTGAACCTTTGATCCTCCTATCTCAGCCTCTGGAATAGATGGGATTGCAGACCTATACCACTAAGCCTTGCTTAAATCCAATATTTTAAATAGCCCCCAAATAAAGACAATCACTTAACTAGAACTAGAATAAGGCCCATTATAATAACTATCTGGGAAAATGTTTAGTATTAACTAGTAAATAAATTAACCTTTTCTTGCCATATGACACATTTACTTCAACTCTTACTATTTAGAAAAAGTACAGAACTGGGATCAGATACAGAGGATCATCACAAGGGAATATTTACTATTGAATCCAACATTTCCATATTCACATTCTTAAGAAAGTTTAAAGTAAAGTTTATGACAACAAGAAATACCTGGCTATTTTTTTTCAATAGGACTGAGGTGCCATCATCAACTTCAAATTCTCCATAGTCTTTTAGACACCGTACCTGAAAGAAAAAAATTGATACTTTTGTTTTTCCCTTTGAGATTGTGTCTCACTGTGGCCAGTCATGTCCCCTCACTCACTTCTGATTATCGTTATTCCCTGTTTTGAAACAGGGCCTCCTATATCACAGGTTGCTTTTGATCCTCCTGCCCCAGCCTCTCAAATTAGGATTATAGGTGTGAACCACCATACCTGACTTGAATTATCTATTTCTATACATTAGTATTTATTTATTTTTGAGGCAGGGTCTCTCTGTAGCCCCAGCTGACCTGGAACTTACTATATAGACCAGAGATCTGCCTGCCTCTGCCTCCAGAGTGCTGAGATAAAGAAAAGGCATATGCCACCATGCCCGGCTTTTTTGTGTTTTTTAAAAATTTCTTATATCTTATTTATTTTTATTTTTTTGTGTATGAGTGTCTTGCCTGCATGTATGTAAATGCACCACGTGCCATGGAGGCCAGAAAAGAGCATCAGATCCCCTGGAACTGGAGTTAAGGATGGATGTTAGCTACCATATGGGTGCTATGAACTGAACCTGGGTCCTCTGGAAGAGCAGAAAGTGCTCTTGGATTGCTGCGTTATCTCTCCAGCCCCATCCATGGTATTTTTTTTTTTTTTTTTTTGGTCTTTTTGAGACAGAGTCTCCCTGTAGCCACAGCTTCCCTATGGAGACCAGGGTGGCCTTGAACTCACAGAGATCCACCTGCCTCTGCCTCCAGAGCGCCGGGACTAAAGGCGTGCGCCACCACGCCAGCCTTTTGAGAAAGGGTCTCCCTGTAGTCCCACCTGTTCTGGAACTCACTATGCAGACCAGGCGGGTCTTGAACTCACAGAGATCTGCCTGCCTCTGCCTCCCAAGTGCTGGGATTAATAAGGTGTGCGCCACCATGCCTGGCCATGGTAATGTTTTTAAACTCAATTTAGGATTACAGAATTTTTACTTCTCAGAAACTTTAGAAGCCAGAAAGCATTAGGTCAGTACATTCACTCTTCCTTGAAAAAATGCTAGTTCCAAAACTAAATCGTTCAGTCAATGAATGGGCAAGAACTAAATAATCAGTTCTCAAAAAAAGAAATACAGACAGGTCAACAAATACTTGAAAAGGTGTTCAAGATCCTTAGCCATCTTAAAACTAATTTGAGATTCCTTCAGTCAGAATAACTATGAAGAAAACAGATAACAACAAATGCTAGCAAGGATGTAGGGAAAGGGGAACCCTTATGCAATGTTGTAGGTCAATCTACGTAGCTACTATGGATATCAATATGGAGATGCCTCAAAAAAACTCAACACAGGGGGCTGGAGACATGGATCAGTGGTTAAGAGCATGGACTGCTCTTGCAGACGACCTGGGTTCAGCTACCAGCACCCACATGGCGGCTAACAACTGTCTGTAATTCCAGTTCCAGGGTATCTGACGTCCTCTTCTGACCTCTGTGGGCATTGCATGATACTGGTGCACTTGCATATATGCAGGCAATATATTCTTACACATTAAAGAAAAAAAAAAAAAACCCTAAAAACTAAAAATAGAATTACTACCTGACCAAGATATACCACTCCTGGGTACATATACTTGAAGGGCTCTAAGTCTGTATTATAGACATTCTTTTATATCCATGGTTATTGCTACACTATTCACATAGTTAAGAAATGGAACCAACCGAGATGCCCAATAACAGATAAATGGATAAAGTGATATGAAGACACAATGAAACAGGTTTTTGTTGTTGTTTTGTTTTGTTTTTTTTTTTGATAGGGTCTCATGTTGCCCAGGACGGTCTCAAATTTACTATGTAGCTAAAGATGACCTTGAACTTCACATTTTTCTGCCTCTATCTCCAGAGTGCTGAGATTACCAGCATGTGGTTTTACAAACTGATGGGTCAAACCCAGGGCTTCATGCAAGCTAGGCAAGCACTTTACCAGAAGTTGTCCTCGGACTTCCACATGCATGCTGTGGTACATGTGCACCACTCCCCACAAAACAAGTAAAAATAAGGTTTAAAAATTTTCTAAAGAGACTAAAGATTTTAAAAGTTGTAGGGATGACTTTTACAATATGGACATGCAGGGCTGGAGAGATGGTTCAGCAGTTAAGAGCACTGGCTGCTCTTACAGAGGACCCAGGTTCAAATCCCAGCACCCATATGGCAGATCCAGGGAATCTGACATCCTCTTTTGACCTCCAAGGGCATTGCATGACATGGTGCACTTACATACAAGTTAGGCAATACACATACACATAAAATATTTTGAAAAACAATATGGACATGCTCTGGACAAAAGACTTTTACCTAACCTTGCAACCAAAAAGCTAATCTTAAGTCTGGAGATCACTTAACACTGTCTTAGCTTATTTATGATGTAAAACAATGTGTTCCTTATAACCTAAAATATACAGCCTTAATCCCTCATGACCCTTGCTCTTGATCCAAAACAATGTTTGAATGTATGCATGTTTTGCATATCAAGTGCTGAAAGCATTAGAAAGAAGATAATTATTCTTTCCATCCTTAATTTTGCTGCAAACAACAAGTAGGATTAAACTGATAACATCTCTTTGGGTTGGTGTGTGCTATCCTAGATCAGAAGGCTTCAGAAGGGATAAAATCCTCTGATAAGAGTCCACTTTTACTTCCGCACTTCATGCTAGATGAGAAGTGAGGACTTTGAGATCACTGTACTAAGAGAATTCTGAAGGAACAGGCTCTCAACAGCTCAGGTCCCTCTTGGCTAAAATGAATGCTTAGAGTCAGGCTGTTTTTATTCAGTCATCACAATAATCTATCACATAGAAGTCTAAAAACTAGTACTATTTTAACTTTAGTTTCTAACTCTAATTTTCCTTCCGTGCCACATCATGTGTTATGGAGCTCAGAGACCAATGTGTGGGCCTCAGTTCTCTCATTATAACATTTGTGTTCCAGGGAGCAAACTCAAGTTGTCAGGTTAGGTGGCAAGCAATTTTACTCACTAAGCTAGCTCACCAGCCCAAGATAAGTGTTTTTCCAATTGTATAAACTAAAATTTAAGTGCTGCAACTTTGGTAATGACATAGAAAATAGCCATAGGATAAGCACAAAAAGAGATGAGAACAACTTAAATGTCACACACACACACACACACACACACACACACACACACACACAAAATCAACTAAAGACAAAAGAAGACAGGAAACGAGGTTATAAGGTATACAGAAAACAAACAGCAAAGTGATGGAAGATATTCCTTATCAGTAATCATTTTAAGTACAATTAGTTTAAGATCTTCAACAAAAGGCAGAGATTGACAAAATAACAAAAATGCACCTTCCAACTAACTATTTTGTCTTACTTCAGACCCAAAGACACAAATATATTAAAAGTGAAAAGATAGAAAAGGAAATTCCTTGTAATAGTTGTCAAAAGAGAACGAGTTACTATACCAATATCAGACAAAACAGAATAAACCTTAAATTTCAAAAAAAAAGTATGAGACAAAGAACATACATTACCAAAGTTTCAATATAGCAAAAAGACAGTAATTATTACAGTTACAGATTAACAATCTATCAAAATATATGCAGCAAGAAAACTAAAGGGAGAAATGGTTTTATAGTAACGGTTACTTTAATAACTGTTCAAAATGGAGAACAAACAGAAGAGAGAGGATTCAACACACACACACACACAAACACACACACACACACAAATGCCGGGCATGGTGGCGCATGCCTTTAATCCCAGCACTTGGGAGGCAGAGGCAGGTGGATTTCTGTGAGTTCAAGGCCAGCCTGGTCTACATATCTACATAGTGAGTTCCAGGACAGCTGGGGCTACAGGGAGACCTATCTCAAAAAAAAAAAAATTATATGTTGGGGACTGGAAAGATGGCTCAGCAGTTAAGAGCACTGGCTGCTCCTGCAGAAGACCTGGGTTTGGTTTCAGCACCCACAAGGTGGCTAACAACCATCTGTAATTCAAGTTCCAATGGATCCCACACCCTCTTCTGAACTCCACAGGCATTGCACAACATGGGTGCACTTACATACATGCAGGCAAAACACTCATAAAAAAATAAGCAAATCTTGGGGCTGGAGAGATGGCTCAGAGGTTAAGAACACTGACTGTTCTTGCAGAAGACCTGGGTTCAAATCCCAGCACCCACATGGCAGCTAACAGCTGTCCATAACTCCAGTTCCAGGGGATCCAACAGCCTTTTCTGACCTCTGCAGGCACTGTACAACACGAGTGCACTTACATACATGCAGGTGATACATGCAGACACATAAAATAAAAATAATAAATAAAATATTAAAAATAATAAAATAAAAAATTCCAAAAAATAATAAAAAATAAATTTAAACCAAAAAAAAAAAAAAAAACCCACCACTCTTTAAACTCAGGAAGCAAACAACTCAAGAGCGTCAGAAATTTCCTAAAACTGACCAGATTCACCAGGTTCCTCTCTCCCTAAGGAGTGCTTAGAGACACTCAGATGAGCTGAGCCACGTGGAAGAGACTCAGACAACTGAGCTACCTGGAAAGGATTCTCTCTAACCTGTTGACTGCCTACAGGTTGTATAGTACACTCTAGGTTTCCTGTTTTCATGAGCTGTCACCCATGCCGGGGTGGACTTGGTCTCTGAGTCATTTCTGCTCCTCTAAGTAACCCCAATAAAACTCACTGGCTCACCAAGGACTTTGATGGCTCAGAATGTATGCAGCAAGAAAACTAAAGGGAGAAATGGTTTTATAATAATGGTTACTTTAATAACTGTTCAAAATGTCTGTGGTTCCCTGTCTGGAGTGAGAAGTTTGTTCATGTCTCCCTGGGAATAGTGTCAGACAACAAATATACACATTAAAATAGATATACCTACTTCAATATATAGACTTTTTGGAGGTTTCACATCCTGAGTGATGTCCAAACCTTCATCTCCTCCCAGTGACCTCATGTAAGTAGCAAGAGACTTTTTATAATGGTTGAACCACTCCATCTGAAAACAGAAAGATGGTCATTTGACAAAGGTACAAGAAAACTGAGCTAAAGAGATGGCTCAGCAGTTAAGAGCACTGACTGCTCTCGCAGAGGACCCGGGTTTATATCCCAGTACCCACACAGCAGCTAAGAACTGCCTATAACTCCAGTTCCAGGAGATCCAATACCATCTTGACCTCCACGGGCGTTATTGCATGACACAGGTATACTTACACACATGTAGGCAATACACTCATACACATAAAATAAAAATAATTAAATATAAAACAAAATGGTAAACTTGCTGGGTGAGATTGCACATGCCTTAATTCTAGCACTCCGGAGGCGGGGGCAGGGAAATGGACCACAAATTTGAGACCATCTTGATCTTCACAGTAAATTCAAAAATGAAAATTAGGGGCTGGAGAGATAGCTCAGCGGTTAAGAGCACTGACTGCCCTTGCAGAAGACCTGGGTTCAAAACCCAGCACCCACATGGCAGCTAACAACTGTCTGTAACTCCAGTTCTGGGGAAATCCAACACCTTTTTCTGACCTCCATGGGCATTGTACCACCTGGGTGCACTTACACACATGCAGGCAATACACTCATAGTCATAAAATAAAAATAAGTATTTTTTTAAAAAAAATGAAAATTAGCCGGGCATAGTGGCACATACCTTTAATCCACGCACTTGGGAGGCAGAGACAGGCAGATCTTTGTGAGTTCAAGGCCAGCCTGGTCTGCATAGCGAGTTCTAGGCTAGCTGGAGCAACAGGGAGACCCTGTCTCAAAAAAGACCAAAATAATAATAATTAATTAAATAAAATGTATATATTAATTACAGCTCAGTAAATCTTTGGGGTGTTTTTGTAGTGCTAGAGATTGAACTCAAGGCCTTGACTATATTAAAACACATGCTCTACCAGGCGTGGTGATGCATGCCTTTAGTCCCAGCACTCGGGAAGCAGAGGCAGGTGGATTTCTGTGAGTTCAAGGCCAGCCTGGTCTACATAGCGAGTTCCAGGCCAGCTGGGGCTACAGGGAGACCCTGTCTCAAAAAGACCAACCCCCCCGCAAAAAAAAACACATGCTCTACCACTACGCTAGCCCCTACCACAGTTACTTTTTTATTTCAAGAGAAATAAAATATATCTAATATGTAAAGGGCTACATTATACTAACAGATTAGCAGATTCAATAGTGTAATAATGACAACAACCTACGATTCAATGACAACCAAAATCTGAACTTCATTAAAAAAAGAAACGGAACTTGACAAATTGAGTCTAAAATTTATGTGAAAGCACGAAGGACCGAAAATAGTCATTACACTTGACAAAAGAACAAAATGGGGAACTAGAGAGATGGATCAGTGGTTAAGAGCACATACTACTCTTGCAGAGAATCTGAGTTCCTAGCACCCATGTCAGCCAGCTCACAACTACTTGTAACCTCCAGAGGTTCTGACATCCTTTTCTGGACTCCACAGGTACCTGCACTCACAGATGCATGTGTGTCCATGTGCACACTCTCACACACACACACACAGTTAAAATATTTTTAAAAAACAGGATGGGAATACTAGCTCCCATATACAACAAAGTCATAATAGCTAAAACAGTAGCTCCCTTTATACATTTTGAACAATTTTGACTTTACCATATTGGTTTTAAATACTTTTATTTTCATTTTTTATTCTCCTTACAGTTGTCTGATTTTTTTTTTTTTTTGAACTTCTTCATTACCGAGAAGCCTTTTTTCCATGTTTTCTGTTTTCTCTGAGCTCTTGCTCTTTGCCCTGCCTAGCAGCCTTCTCCATTCACCTTCCCTATTTAAGTTACCTCACCATTTCGTACCTTCTCTCGTCTTCATGTCATTCTCTTCCTATTCCTACACTTCTAGATATCCAAGTTCACGGCTCATTCTGCAGTGGCTTTGCCACTTTCACGTTTGGTCATTAGTGAGGCATGAGAGGCTGTACTTGATTTTAAGTGTATTCCTATATCTTGTATGGCTTCTTGTTATTAAAGCAGCATGCTTTCTCCCTGAGGAGTGGTACTGGGGATTAAGCCTTCAAGAGCAGATAATTCAAGGCGTTTTAAAAAAACACCAACAACAAAAACAGGAAGAGCTATCCGAGCCAACAGAAGTGTAAACTTGAGAAACATGTGAAAGCAAGGCAAAATGACTGGTCCAAAAGGCCACAGCTCACCTGCTGAACTCAACGATACTGAAATGGCTATAGATGAGGATTTCAAAGTTGACTGGTTAAAAAAAAAAAAAAGTTCAGTGACATCATAGAGGATGCAAACAAGCAGACAAGAAGCCAACCCAGAACCTGAAGAGAAGAAACTCAGCCATGTAGAGAGTAAGGTAGTAAAATGGATGAGAAAGTCAGAACTAGGGATGAAAAAGCCAGCATCTAGAAGACAAATACACAAGGAAACGTTAAAAAAAAGTGTTGGGAATGAAAAACTAAATGAATCAAATTTAAAACACAGTAGCAAACATCATCAAGAGACCCGATCAAGCAGAAGAACTGTATCAGGAACTGAAGACAGAGCAGACAAAATACTACATTCAGTCATTAATAAGGAAATGCGCAGTCACCACACAACTTCCAAGAACTCCGGAGTATGACCAAGAGACCAAACTAAGAATCCATGGGATAGAAGAAGGAACTAGATAAACTCTAAAGGCTTACAGAATCTATTCAAAGAAATTACAGTGAAAATCTTCCAAGTCTAGAGAGATATCCAAACACAAGAGGCATTTAGAACCCATATTATAGTCACAATGTCAAAAATGGAAAGGAAAGAAACACTATTGAAAGCTGCAAGGGAAAAATACCAGCTCACTTACAAAGGCAAACAAAACAAATGGCATCAGAACTTCTCAGCAGCAACCCTAAAAGCCAGCAAACCATGGAATGGTGTATTTCAGCTGCTGGAAGTAAATAACAGCCAGCCTAGCTTGCTACATCCAAAAAAGTTATCTTTTAAAACTGGTGGGAAATAAGAACGTTTCAATACAAGCACAAACTGAGGCAGTCATGACCACTAAGTGGACAACTGCAGAAGCTATCTAAGAGAATTCAACACAGGAAGAAGAAAGACATTGTCACTCATAAAAGCACGGAAAATAAATTTCATGAGAGGAATAGACGAACAAAGGACAGCTAGAAAGGAATGCATAAATTTTTTTTGTCTTTTTGAGACAGGGTCTCCCTGTAGTCCCAACTGACCTGAACTCACTATGTAAACCAGGCTGGCCATGAACTCACAGAGATCCGCCTGCCTCCCAAGTGCTGGGACTAAAGGTGTGCGCCACCAAGCCTGGTGGAATACATAATTTTTAACACAGTAAACCAGCAAACCCCTAACAGTAACAGGGGAGGAAAAAAAGAACAAACAATCTGATCAAGCAGAAAAACAACCACAAACTTTACAGGAATTAGCAAACAGCTGCCAATGATAACCTTAAATGTAAATGGCCTCAACTCATCAAGAAAGAGGTATGGACTGGCTAACTAGATCAAAAAACTAGATTCAACTATGTGCTGTCATCAAGAAACACACTTCACTAGTAGAGCCATCCACAGACTGAGAGTCAAAGGAAAGAAAACAGTGAACCTAAGCTGACAAGAAGCTGGAGTAACTGCATTAGTTACTTTACTCATTGTTGTGACACAGTACCTGACAAAGAGTAGGAGTGAGCGGCTGTAGCTCAGTGATAGAATGCTTGCTGATGTGGGTGAGGACCTAGGTACAATTCTCACTACATCCAAACAATAAAAATAAATGTTTTTAAAAATATTTTATTATTTTTATTATTTTACGTGTATGAGTGTATTGCCTGCATGTATGTGAGTGCAACCGTGTCGTGCAATGCCACAGAGATCAGAAGAGGGCTTCAGAGTCCCCTAGAACTGGAGTTGAGGATGGAACTGGATGTGGGTGCTGGGAATCGAACCTGGGTCCTCAGCAAGAGCAGTCAGTGCTCTTAACTGCTAAGCCATCTCTCCAGCCCCCAAATAAATGTTTTTAAAAACTAACTTAAAGGATGAAGAAGTGGTAGAGGTGAGAATGGGGTAAATATGTTCAATGTACATCATAGTTATACGACATGTTACGTAACAGTATTGTTTGCAATGAAAATATACAATGAATTTTTTCTTTTTATTTATTATTTTTATTTTATGTGTATGTGTGTATTGCCAGCATGTAGGTAAGTGCACCTGTGTTGGATCCCCTGGGACTGGAGTTGCAGACAGTTGTTAGCTGCCATGCGGGTGCTGGGATTCGAACCTGGGTTGAGGTTCATCTCCTAAATGGCCCCACCAGCTGAGGACCCAAGGGTTCAAATTCATGACCTTGTGGGGGATAGTTCACATTTAAACCCCAACAGTAGCTACTCTGATATCTGGTAAAATAGACTTCAAACCAAAACTGTGAGTATAATTAGTTTACTTTCTGTTACTGTGATAAAACACTGACAAAAACCAACTTCCAGAGCAAAGGGTTTATTTGTCTTAGCTCACAATCCATCATCAGAGGAAGCCAGTCTGTCAGAGCAAGATGCCTCAACTGAGGTTCCTCTTCCCAGGTGACTCTAGTTTGTGTCAAATTGACACAGTATAGTGAGGATAAAGAAAGTCATTAGACATTAGTAAAGAAAGCAATTAAGTAGATAAATAAAAGACCTGGAAATGTATGTTGAGGCACCAAATGTTGAAGCCTCCAATTCTTTTTTTAAAAATATTTTATTTATTTTTATTTTATGTGTAGGAGTGTTTTGCCTGCATGTATGTTAGTGTACCACATGCATGATATACCCAGGAAGGCCAGAAGATGGTGTCAAATCCCCTGGAACTGGAGTTAAGAATGGTTGTTAGCCACCATGTAGGTGCTGGGAATTGAACCTGGGTCTTCTGGAAGAACAAGTGTTCTTAACCGCTGAGCCATCTCTCCTGCCCAGAGCTTCCAATTTCATAAAACAAATGCTAATGGATGTAAAAAGTCACATAGGTGCTGATAAAACAGTAGTATGTGATTTTAATACCCCACTCTCATCATTGAAGCTAAAAATCAACAGAGACACCTCAGAGTTAAACTACACTATATGTGGCAGCTGGAGAGATGGCTTGGCAGTTAAGAGCACTGGCTGCTCTTCCAGAGGACCAGGGTTTCATTCCCAGCACCCACATGGTGCACTTACATACACGTAGGCAAAACACATTTAAAAAAAAAAAAACAACACAAGAAAAAAACCTACACTATATATCAAATGGGTTTATATACATTCTTCTCAGTAGCCCATGGAAAAGAGACCACATTCTAGGCCATAAATCAAATCTTACAAGATTCAAAAGAATTTAAGTAATTTCCAGTGCAACAAAAGTAGAAATCAACAGCAAGAAAAACTACAGAAACTACAAATACTTGGAGACTAGCCAGGTGACACACACCTTTAATCCCAGCTCTCAGGAGACAGAAGCAGGCAGATCTCTGTGAGTTCAAGGCCAGCCTGGCAGAGATATTTAGTGATATCCTGTCTCAAACACACACACACACACACACACACACACACGCACGCACGCACGCACGCACGCACGCACGCGCAGAGACTGAACAATACACTTTTGAATGACTCGTAGGTCACTGGAGAAATTGGGGAAGAAATTAAAAACTTCTTGGAATCAAAGGAAAATGAGAGTACAACTTACCCAGAACCTGTAGAGGAAAGTTCTAGCTACAAGTGCTCATGCTGAAAAATGGAAAGATCTCAAATAAGAACCTAGCCATACACTTCAAGGTTCTAGAAAAATAAGGACAATCTGAACCCAAATGCAATAGAAGGCAAGAAATAATAAAGATCAGGGCAGAAAGTAATGAAATGTAAATGCAAAGATAATGTATCGAATCAACCAAACAGATGGATAAGTTCCTAGACACACATCACCAAAATTAAGTTGAGAAGATACAAACAACTTAAGCAGATCAATAACAATCAATGAGCTTGAAGCAGCAATAAAAAGTCTCCAACAAGCAGGCATGGTGGCGCACACCTTTAATCCCAGCATTTGGGAGGCAGAGGCAGGCGGATCTCTGTGAGTTCAAGGCTAGCCTGGTCTAGATAGTGAGTTCCAGGCCAGCTGGGGCTACAAAAAAAAAAAAAAACCTCCAACAAGGAAAGCACAGGACTAGATGGGCTCACACTAACACCAATTCCTTCCAAACATTTCCATAATAGAAGGAAAGACACTGCCAAACTCATTCTACAAAGCCAACTATCATATTATTACCATGCTACCAAAACCTGAAAATGGCACAACAAAAAAACTATAGATGAATTTCCCTGATGAGCAGACACAAAAACGCTTAATGAAATGTTTATAATCTGAATTCAAGAACACATTAAGATCACGAATTATGCCGAAATTGACTTCATTCCAAGGCTGCAAGGTTGGTCAAAAAGGAATCAACAGGTATAATACATAAATAGACTTAAGGACAGAAATCTCAGGAAGGAATCAAGGAGGGAGGGAAGGAAAGAGGGAGGGAGGGAAGCGAGGGAAGGAAGGAATCAAGTTCTGATTCTATAGGGAGGGATGCCAGAAGCTTTTTAAGTCTGGGACCCTCCTAGCCCTTGCCTTGTGAGCTGCTTCTGGTTTCTGATTTTATCTGTTTGCTCCAAGACACTAGTCTTCTGCTTTCCTGAGTTCTGTGAGTCATTCTGGCAACTTACAGAACCAAAGGGGATCATGGGACCTCAGGACCTATGACTGCTGTCTAAAAGTCAGCCTTGCGGAAGACTGGGCACTTAACCTGTGAAGTGTTGTCTAACATCAGGTAGTTAGTGTCTGAAGCCATTGCAAACCAGTATTGTTTTGTAAAGGACAGAATTTAGGTCAGGTTACTTGCTTAAGATTAGCTAGTTCATAAAAAAAAAAACAGTATTTGAATTCAAGTCTACCTGACTCTAATTCTACATCTTTAAATACAGGACTAGCCCTGTGCTTTGATGACTGGATATATCAAGACTAGTTACCAATATAAATTTGTAATGTTGATTAGCATGCATATACATACATGCATACATATGTAAATATATAAATGTGTTACTAGTATATAATAAATAACACTGGAACTCTTCTTTGCTTATTGCTCATTTTTTCTACATGGTATTTAGAATTAGTCCCCATGTCACACATCCTATCATAGTATATAAAAAATAAATTTAAGTCAGAAGTTGCTGAAGAACAGACATTAAAAACAAAAAAAGGAAAACACCAATAAATACTATCAGCAATCAATGCCAGAACCGTAGCATTTATATAAATTTGAACAGTGCTAACTTACTTCTTCAGCAGACATGTGGAATCCTAAGGCATTTGGCAAGACACTGCCATACTCCCACCTGAGTGCTCTAATCCGAAGCAGTCGGTCATACCTAGGGTATGAAGTGATTAGATGGCATAAGAATAAAAGGGGGCAGGCATGGTGACACAAGTGTTTTTGGTTTTTTGTTTTGTTTTTAATATTCTTATTTTTTTATTTTATTTTATTTATTTATTTTTTTGGTCTTTTTGAGACAGGGTCTCCCTGTAGCCCCAGCTGGTCTGGAACTCACTATGTAGACCAGGCTGGGATTAAAGCGTGCGCCACCACGCCTGGCCTCTTTTTTATTTTTTTAGAAGCATATCATTACAGCTTTAACATACTCAGTAACAGTTTCCAGAGCAAAGATACATCTCTTTGAAAAGTGGCTATAAAATTTTTAGGTTCACTGTTGAATTAATACAGTTATATAATATTGAACTCAGTATAAACTCTGTAAGACATAAAACTGAATGGGTTTTTAACCTTTAAAAAAGATCTCCATAGCCAGGCGTGGTGGTGCACGCCTTTAATCCCAGCACTCAGGAGGCAGAGGCAGGTGGATCTGTGAGTTCCGAGGCCAGCCTTGGCTCCATAGGGGATCCAGGCCGAGTGGGGGTTCAGGGGAACCCTGTCTCAAAAAAACCAAAAAAAAAAAAAAGATCTCCATTTCATTTTAAAATATACTGTTTCTTACAGAAAGACTCATTGTTTTTGCTAATAACACTGAGATGTTGGCGCATGCATCTCTAATCTGTATGTATCTGATTATTACTAGTCATAATAGGTTGCACTCGGATCCTTGGAACCTGTGTATGTCTATAAAGTCATCGGGTAGATTTCAGTGGTAATGTTCATCACCTCTACTAGTTAACATGATGTAAATTTTTATGCTTCCCTTCCTAAAACAAAGACCTCTAGATAGGCTGACTAGATTCACCAGATGGACAAGTAGTGGGAAACAGCTGGGGAGTGCCGACAACACAGCGGACAGCAGCAGAGTATAAGGGCTCTAGTCGGGGGAGGGAGGCTATGGGAGGGTGCCATCTGGAATTGAGTCTAGTTGAATTAGATGGTTTGGGATGTTCTGTGTGATACACACACACACACACACACACACACACACACACACACACACACACACAAAATCAACAAATTAAAAAATAAATTACATTTGAGGTGACACACGTTTTTAATCCCAGCCCTCATGAGGTAGAGATGAGGGGATCTCTTTGAGTCTATGTAGTGAGTTCCAGGCCAGCTGGAGCTATACAGTGAGACCCTGTCTCAAAAAAGAAAACAAAAACAAAATAATAATGAAAGACTCAAGACTCATAAGAAAAATAAATAAATGGAACCTGTGGGTTTTATTTGGCTCCTGGTAAATGAGCCACATCTTTGGACAAAGGAAGAAATGTGCATAAGAACTGGACAGACAGCACCAGGTATTGTTCATGTCCCCAAATGTGACAGTACAGTGCTTACAAAGGCTCAGATCCTTATTGCTTAGAGAAGAAAAATATCCAGAATTCAGAGGTAAACTGCCATGATATTCTAAACTAGTACAGCATAAAAACAAGACACAATCAAGTAAATATGGCAGAACATTAAAAGGTCTAAGGATTTTGACATTTCCTCCAGGCTCAACACATAAATCTTACTCTTTCTGTGGCTACTGTAGATTTTCACAATTAAAAACAAACAAAAATCCAGATGATTCCTTTCTTCCCTGCTATCCACTGAGAAACCAGACTATACCAAATCCCTCCTGGGTTCCTGACCACCCCAAGCAAACCCCAGAATACTTACAGGTATGCTACAGTGCAACGTCGATTTCTTAACAAAGAACAGTGCCGAAATTTGATGGTTGGTATCAAGTCACCTCGTCCAGCTGACTTTGCTTCATTCCTGATAAGGACATTTTGGTTTTTTTGTCATTTTTTTTTGAGACAGGGTCTCCCTGTAATCCCAGCTGACCTGGAACTCACTATGTAGACCAGGCTGGCCTCAGACTCACAGAGATCTGCCTGCCTCTGCCTTGCAAGTGGTGGGATTAAAGCATGCGCCACCATGTCCAGTGACATGTTTGTTTTTAATCTGTTTACAATTAGCAGCAGTTGATAGAAGTACAGTAGCTACCTCCATTTCAGTGCTTTTATTAATAAGTTAAAAAAAAAAAAATCAAGTGAGGCCAGGCGTGGCAGTGAATGCCTTTAGTCCCAGCACTCAGGAGGTAGAGGCAGGTGGATCTCTGTGAGTTTGAAGCCAGCCTGGTCTACATAGTGAGTTCTAGGCCAGCTGGGGCTACTTGGGAGACCCTGTCTCAAAAAAAAAAAAAAAAAAAAAAAAAAAATCAAAAGTGAAATAATTTGCCTACGCCTAAGATCATCAATCAGGAGCCGGGAGTGGTGGCACACACCTGTAGTCCCAGCACTTGGGAGGCAAGGGCAGGCAGATCTCTGTAAGTTCAAGGCCAGCCTGGTCTACATAGTAAGTTCCAGGCCAGAGGCCATCTGAGGCTACAGGGCAACCCTATTTCAAAAAAGAGATCATCTATCAAGGACATGTGGCACTTACTCAGTGTCTGGACTGTTTTGCTTTTGTGGTGCAAACCCAGGACTCCACACATTAGCTAGACAAGCGCTCCAGCACTAAGCTGCACCCCTTGGCCACAGAGAGCCAATCTGCACACATCTACCATTCTATAGAAGCCAGATTTACTTTCCACGTTTATTATTCCTTACAGCTGCATGCAGTGTGCTATGGATTATAAAGGAATATAATAAAACATGCCTGACTAGCAGGCATGGTGGCAGCATACCTATAATCCCAGCATTTGGGAGGCTAAGGCAAGAGGATAGACAGTTTGAGGCAAGACTGAGTTACACAATGAAATATTTTCTCAAACATAAGACAAACCTGACTGTAACATCAGAGTTCTGTATGAAATACGAGTAAAAAATTCCACATTTAGTTGGAGGGCATATTCCTTTAATCTTAATACTCAGGAGGTAGAAGCAGACAGATCTCTAAATTCAAGGCCATCCTGGTCTACATAACGACTTCCAGGCTGTCAGGAAGCCAGTTGGCCGGGCGTGGTGGCACATGTCTTTGATCCCAGCATTGAGGAGGCAGAGGCAGAGACGGGCAGATCTCTATGAGTACAAGGCCAGCCTGGTCTACATAGTGAGTTTCAGGACAGAGGTTACAGGGAGACCCTGTCTGAAAAAGACCAAAAAATTAAAAATAAAAAAAAAATCACATTTATACATGATTAGTTAAAAAAGAATTGATTGCTATGTGCAAATAATTTTAACCAGAAACTACTAACAATGGTTGCCCCCTGCCCCAGAGAATTTAACAGGGTAAAGAACAAAATTCAGGATCATGAATTTGCGAAGAGCACAAATATACAGAGTGCAGAAAAATCATTCCCTTACTGGACCAAGACCTAATAAGCCAACTCCAAAATACATCTTTATTCTGTTCACTAGTCCAGGGTATGTCTCTAGTGACACAAATGACCACTGTGCCCTCATTTCTGCTCTCTAGCATGCATATGGCATCCACGATGCTCTCAAGAAACAAAGGAGCAGCTACCTACCCCAACTTAAATAACTCATCTGGTGTCACCCATTGCCCCTTGCTAACCCACACTGGTTTAAGTTCTGGTTTCCTAAGTACCCACCTCCTTTGTGATCCATTTGTACCCACCCTCACTGTCTCACTAAAGCCCACTTCTCTTGAGACAGCTGAAATGCCTCTTCCTTAGAGAAAGTTCACAATCCCTTCATTTCATTTACATGTTCCTTCCTGTCTCGTAGCATTACTCTCTCCTGTTGCCTTCCTTTGGAGCACATCCCTTAAGTTGGCATGTTTGTATTTAGTTATGTTTCCCACACTGAACAGTAAGGAATATGACAGAAACCCAGAACATGTTGTTTACCATGGAAATACCAGAACCATTTATCAGCATAAATTTATTCACTGCGTTATTTGTTGAATGAATCATTGAACAAATTTGTAGAGTTGATTCAAGACTTGATATGTGCCTCACATTTACTGCAACCCTACCAGGCTCAGTTCCTCATTCCATCTGTAGAGATCGTTCTGTTATCTACATGTATGCAGAGTAATCAAAACTGGTCCTATCATTTTGTATGCCCCGGAGATCTTATCAGCACGCTATTGATTTCTATATACAAGTAACTCATAACCCTCTCCAAGTAAGATTCTGACTACTTCAGCTCTAATCCTCACTAGTTACTCTTTTTTCCCTCTGATTCTTTACCAAGTGATGGAAACTTGTGAAGTTTGTTACATGGCCCAGATTCTCCAAGAGCCAATTATCATCTTTAGCTTTAAATATTGAATAAATCTGTAGCCCTCTCTTGACCTCCTGAGTGGTAGCATTTTGTGACACCAGTCTCAATAAACTCTACTGAAGCTATCTGTAATCACTGCCACTCCTGCTCAGTTTGAAAACAGACCCTTCTTCACATATGCTGAGGCACCTGTTAATGAAAAGAGTGGAAACTGGGGCTAGAGAGATGGCTCAGCGGTTAGGTTAAGAACACTGGTTGTTCTTGCAGAAGACCTGGGTTCGAGTCCCAGCACTCACATGGCAACTAACAACTGTCTGTAACTCCAGTCCCAGGGGATCTGACAGCCTCTTCTGTCCTCCTCAGGCATTGCATGACATGGGTGCACTTACCTACAGGCAGGCAATACATGCATACACATAAAATTTTTAAAAATAATAATAAAATGTTTTTAAAAAGTAGAGACTATGTATTCAGTTTCATTAGGGTCTTTAATTGCTTCTGTATCAGCTCTTTTTTTGTCTCTTTGAGGCAGGGTCTCTCTGTAGCCCCAGCTGTCCTAGAACTCACTATGTAGACCAGACTGGCCTCGAACTCACAAAGATCCGCCTGCCTCTGCCTCCCAAGTGTTGGGATTAAAGGTGTGCGCCACCACGCCTGGCTGTATAAGCTCGTTTAAAGTCTACTTTAATTCTTTTCAACTTAGAAGTCATACTACAATATTTATTAATCACTTTGTACATGCTAAGCACTATCCAACCACACAATTAGCAGAAATTCCTTTAAGTTCTAGTCTTATGCTTGTACAGCTAGGGCAAAAGTTAATGTTTAATTCTCTGATTGGATTGAGAGAATTTGAAAAATAATCACATCCCCCAAAAGACACAAGATTATCTGATTTTAACATCTTGTCTCTTAAATTATTTTAAAACATCAATCTTATCAAAACTTACACATCAGCCTGGTTTTGTTCATATAAAGCTTTCATTTCCTCCAGAACTTGTCTGAGTCCATCCTCCTAAAACATATAAATGGATATTAATATACATTTATTTCCCCTACTAATTTTAATCTTGCTATTTTTAATTTACATGCCTTACCAAAAAGCAGCAGCCTTCCCAATACTTCCATGGCAAGGAATATAAACGGACAGCCCTCAGGAAAAGTTCCACAGTTGTTCAAAAAGCTAAACAAAAGGACAGGACAGGTGGTGTCCCAACTCAGGAAGCCCAAGAGGCCCAGCAGGAGGATCAAGGGATCAAGGTCATCATGGGCTACATAGACCCTGTCTCAAAAAACAAAAGGACTGGAGACATTGCTCCATGGTACAGCAAGTATCTACCATGCCTAACATCCCAGGCTCTATCCCTAGCACCAAGAAAAAGTTAAAAAGAATTACCATATGATCCAGCAATTCCACTCCTAAGTTTATAGCCAATTCCATTCCTATACATATGTTTCATTTCCCTTCCTCCCTCCCTCCCTCCCTTCCATCTTTGGAGCTGGGGACCAGATCCTTAGTGAGCATTCTATGACTGAGCTAAATCTCCAACCCACACACAGAAATATCTATACCATTTTGTTGTTTTTAGGATTTTGTAATTGGTTTTCAGGCAACAGGGTCTTGCTAGTAGTCTTGGCTAGCCCAGTCTCACTATATGGCCCAGGCTGACCACAAATTCACATTAAACCTCAGCCTCTCAAGTCCTGGGATTATAGGCATGTACTTGGATTTATGCAAATATTCTTGGCAACACTATTTACAATGGTAAAAAAGCAGAAATAGCTGGAGAGATGGTTTAGCAGTTACAAGCACTTGCTACTCTTGCAGAAGATCTGGGCTCAGTTTCCAGCACCCATATGGCAGCTCACAATAGACTATAACTCTAGTTCCAGGGGTTCCGACACTCTTCTGGCCTCTGTGTACACTGTACACGTGCTGCACATACATGCTGGCAAAATATTCATACGAATAAATCTGAAAGACAAAAAACAACCCAAGGACCAACAAGTGATGGATGTGCAAACTGAGTATGTTATATCCACTCAATGGACTATCATTTGGTTGAAAGGAAGTACTGACACATGCTACAACATAGACAGCTTTTGAAAACCATGCTAAATCAGAGACACCAGATCTGAAATACCTAGCACAGGCAAATTCATAGACAGAAAAGCAGTTTAGCCAAGTATAGTAGTAGCATATGCCTAGAATCATTCCCAGCACTTGGAAGGGCTGGAGGCCAGCCTGGTCTACACAGTAAGACCCCGACTCAAAAAATCAAAAAGAGGGCCAGAAAGATGGGTCAACAGGTCAGGGTGCTTGCTACCAATCCTAATGACCTGAATTTACTTCCTACATCATGGCAAGAAGTGACTCCAGCAAGTTGTCCTCTGACCTCCACACAAGCTCTGTTGCACGCACCCTGTCCTCCATAAATAAATAAATGTAAAAGAAAAGGGGTTTAGTGGGTATCAGGAGCTGTGGGAAAAGTGGAATGGGGCATTACAGCTTAATGATGACAGTTTCTGCTGGACTGGTGAAAAGGTTGTGGAAAGAGTGATGATGACTTGACAGCAGTGTGAGTGTTATTAGTAGTACTGACATGTACCCTTAAGGTTAAAATGGTCAACTTTGTATTATTTTATTATGTATACTTTATCAATTAAAAAAGTAAAAGGGACTGGAGAGATGGCTCAGCAGTCAAGAGCACTGGCTGCTCTTGCAGAGGACCCGGGTTCTGTTCCAAGCACCCACTAGCAGCTCACAGCAGTAGTGTAATTCCATTTCCAAGGGATCTGACATCCTCTTCTGGCCTCCATGGGCACTGTTAACACTTGGTGCACTTTTATAAATGCAGGTAAAACACACATTTAAAAAAAAATACAGGGGTTGGGGATTTAGCTCAGTGGTAGAACGCTTGTTAGGCAAGCGCAAGGCTCTGGGTTCGGTCCTTAGCTCCGGAAAAAGGAAAAAAAGGCAAAAAGAAAATTACAAATAGGGCTAGAGAGATGGCTCAGCGCTTAAGAGAAGTGACTGCTCTTGCAGAGGTCTCAGGTTCGAATCCTAGCAACCACATGATAGCTAACAACCATCTGTAACTCCAGTTCCGGGAGATCCGATGTCTTCTTCTGACCTCCGTGGGCACTGTATGACACGGTTGTACTTACATACTCGCGGGCAATACACTCATACACATAAAACAAAAAATAAAAATATTTTAAAAATACAAATGAAAAATTTAAATGTACAAAAACCAAAAAGCAAGCTTACACACGGCCCCGCCCCCGACGCCTAGGCCAGACCCAGAGCCCGGCCCGCCCCGGGACTGCAGGCTCCCCCTCGACCCGCCCCTCCGGGTCAGCAGGTCCTCACGTTGAAGGCCGGCAGCTGCCCTTCGGGCGCGCGGCGCAACTCGCGGACGAGCTCCATAGCTTTCTCGCAGAACATGGTGGACCCCCAACCGCCAGATGTCACGCCAAACGACCGCTGCGAGCCCCGCCGCCACGCTCCTTTGGTTCAGGGTCTCGCAGCGCCTACCAGCCTTCCCTCCGCGCTTTGGCGCCGAACAGCTCAGCCAATAGGAACGCGGGGCGGACCTTGGGGTCCTAAGGCGGCTGAAGAGGGACATTTCCCGACATGCGTAGCCATGTCGGGGAGTGATGCTGAGATGGGTGGAGTTCTTAGCCTACAAAGCTAGGGAGTCAGTGACAGTAAGTCTGAGCCCCTAGGCTGAACCAAAACGCTTCTTTGGAACTCCCTAGAAACGGCGCAGCAAAGTTAAATGCACGTTTAGCCACTTCTTTGTTTCTGTTGGATTCCTTCCTTTTCCTCAGGTTCCAAGAGAAAAGGCCCAGAAACTAGGACAGTGTTTCGTTTTAGTTTTGCATTGCAGGTTGTATGACAAGGAGAAACCATCTTTTACTGGGTGCTTCCTATATGGTTGGGACTCTAATCACTATTTTAGTTACTTCTCACAATTCTTTCTAAAGGTGGTTTTCAGAATGCAGAACTGACAAGGAAACCAGAGTAGTTAAATAATGTGCCAAAGGTCACACAGCTCATAAAGTAATTAGAACCTGTTATCTAGGCTTTGCAAAATTGCATAATGTCCTAAATAGCAGCAATTCGAAGCTGGCTGTGATAGCATTGTAGCATGCCTGCACTGCCAACACTTCTGTGGCTAAAGCAGGCACACACTTAAGTCCAGGAATCCTTTAAAAAAAAAAAAAAAAGGAAGAAATGAGTTCAATAAGCATTTTCTTGCCTACGTGATCATGAGGGATTTCCTAATCTTATGGAATGCAAGATAAAAATCACTGCCAGGAAAACAACTAGTTTTCATCAGGCCTGGTGGCACACACCTTTAGTCTCAGCACTCAGAAGGCAAAGGCAGGTGGATCTTTGTGAGCTCAGTGAGTTCCACACCAGCTGGAGCTACAGAAAGACTCTGTCAAAAACCCAAAACCAAATCCTTTCATTTGGCTAATTATTAATTATTTAATTATTTATTATTA